GCATTTAAGATATTTAAATATGTAACTTTTAAAGACATGGAGGCAGATTTCTAGAAGAGAATCATGTATAGCCAGTGGAGTGTTTTCATCTCTGCCTGCCTCCTAACCCCTTTTCCCTTTCCTTTTCCCTTTCCTTTTCCCTTTCCTTTTCCCTTTCCTTTCCCCTTTCCTTTCAGCATGGAGACCTGTGCTCCTGTCTTGCCCGCTCTTCAAACATTCAAATCTCTCTTGCTCACAGGAGTTCAGTGGTTTTATGAGTGTCTAATGTAACAACTGAAAGAATTATACACTACTCAAATAGATGTCAAACTCTCTTAAATAAATGTAAATGTAAAACGTAATGTGGATGTGAAAAATGAAGCTTCGTTCAAAAAAAGATAATTGCCATACTTCTATCAGAGGCACCTTTCCCTGAAAAGGTGGGGTCTCTTGTTCCATGTTGGCATTTGTATAGTCACAAAAATATGATTTTTCCTTTTTTATTCATTTCAAATGCCCTCAGTAATTAGCTTTCTATCGCTGAATAAGTTTTGGTTGGGTGATTAAGCACCATCTTTGTACACTCACTGGGGCAGCCAGGAGTCTCTACTGGGCCAAGCTTCCTGCAATGAGTACGTGTGGCACCATCCTCCAAACCCTATTTGATGGCCATACACCAGTGAAGCACTGTGGTAGACTTCATATTTTTAAATGTTATGGATTACTTCTGCTTTAGTCCTCCTAAAATAACAGCATGATTTCTGTTGGCAGCTGGGGGGTTTCTCCACTGCTGTCCTTTGCATTTTTGGGGTATTCTTCTGCAAATACAAGGGTAAGGTTTTTCTGCTGTAAGCATGCTAGAAATTGATCAAACAATAAAGTAATATATTTTCGTAGAAAGGCTGCAAATGAAATACATTTTGGAGTTTTGAGAGTTGCTCTTTGAGAAGGTTTCAAATCAGATGGAAAACATCCAGAACAGATCAGTAAGAATTATTAGGAGTCAGGAAAACATGGGTTTCACAGCATAAATTAATTTCTTGGGAAGAGAAGATTGAGGGGAGGGGACATGATGACCACACCTTTCCTCCATTGCAATCCATGGTAGATACATGATAAAGAAACAGGCTTAGTACATTTATGAAAGTGAGAGGTTGGTCTTAAAAATATTTTAATAGTTCTGAAGACAATGAAACAGTGGTGCGAGTTGTCTGAGGGATGCATGGCATCTCTGTCACTGGAAGTCTTAAGATAAAAACTAGAAAAGGCAGTGGTCAATACTGACCATCTGACCTGGTTCTGGGGCAGCAAGATAAAGTAGCTAATACTGTGATGAACTCCCAGGTCTTCTGTTGTATGATTTGACTTCAGGTGAATGTTGTTGCTGACTTGTAATGTTTCAGAAAGAGGTTGGTATTTCATGTCACAACCTCCTAAAAACAGGTTGTTAGGCATGAACCTTTACTTTCATTTTGATGGATTTGCCTAGTCATTATTGCAAGGAAGAGATTAAAATAATGAACTCAGAACCTTCAAGAAAGGGCAAGGACAAAGTGGTCAGAATATAAATATCAGCATCTCAGTACTTTTAAGACAGCTTGATAATCATCTAAATGTTTGGGGAAGGAAATAATCTTGCCCTTAGCCTTGGCCTCATTTGTTCTCACTGAATAATTTCTCATTGCTGTCACTTTTTTCTCCAACCCTGAGTTTTTAAACACAAAACACTCACCTGTGAAACATCTTCCATCTACTAATGCTTCCACTCCACCAAGATTTAATCTTTCATTGCTATCAACAGAGATGTGTATGCTCCCCTCCATGCTCATATTTTCCTGTCAGCACAAAGGTTTATGCTTTCAGGTGGTGAACTGGAGCCAAGAACTGATTCGTGTCTTAAGCAAACTGGCAAATATTAGGAAAAAAACAAATCCACAAACAAAACCAAAACATTTTAACCAGGTTCACTTCTTCTGTCTAGTTTACTGCAGAAAAATAAAACATAAAATGTATGTGTCAAGGTCTGTTCAGGAATCGGAATGAGCATGTTTCTGTCTGTCAAAGGTGGGAGGTGTCCTTTTGAAAGGACAGTGCAAGACCTAAAATTGGATATCATGTACAAAGTACGAGTTGTCCTCTGCTCTCCCACCCCTTGTTTAGCATTGCAGCTGCTTAATAGAGTAGCAAAAGGAAATCCTTATTGGCTTTTCCACAGCTGCAGGATCAACACAAGTGAGAGATGTGTCTTCCTTCTCTGAATCAATATTCACCTGTGTAGAAATACAGAAAGGTAGAAATTTTGCTCTTAACTGAGCTTTTGCAAACTCAAAGTGAGCTTTTTTCTTCCTCAGTTTGCTAATGAAACAGCTAGGAGAAAAACACTTCTTTTTCCTAGTACTGTACATAGTCTTCAAATTCACAGTGAATAAATATGGATTCGTGCCATGCAACTTTCTCAGACTTCTATTTCCCACAATCCATTTAAGATGCTAAAGTTGTTGTTTAAATAAAAACTATAGAGAAGATGTTGGACAAGACTCTATATGCAACGCTTTATTTAGAAAACAAAACAAAACAGAACAGAACCAAAATCCAAAAAACCACCCTGACTATTGCGTTTTTGATAGAAATACTTGAGCCATTTTGGCCTGAATTTGTTTCCTTCACAAAAGGAAATCTCAACCTTGGTGCATAATTTATGGTCTTGGCATCCAGCCGAAACATATGTACATACTGAAATCAGTTTTGCATCTGTTTAACTGTGTGCACATGAGTAGTCTAATTGGATTTAGTCTGATGAAATGACACATGCAAGATCAAGTGTCTGCACAACAAGGATTTCAGTCAGTAGGTTTCTTTAGGGCAGCAGCTTCTATGCTTTACGTGGTGCCTAGCACATGAAATGGCTTTTTGATTATCTCAAAGCCTTCTGCATGCTATATAGCTGTAGTGATGGGTGAAACAAAGAACTACAGAAGAACAAATCCTGCAGCATAGGTCAGATCTTCTACTGCACAGCACTGAACAAAAGTAGCAATTAATTCATTGTAACTTTCTTTTTTTAAAAATGTCTTCTGACAATCTCTTCAGGTTGAAGGGAAATCTCTCCTTCCTTCATAACAGGCTACCCTGCAGCAGCTGTTGGCCAGATTAAACGCTTTTGCTTAAATATGCTAGAGACTCTGATAAGATACAGTCATCACCTCCTTTAGGATGGAACCTGAACTTATCTGACTGGGCAGCAATGTAGATACTCATCATCTTCATAAGACAAGCTATCAGGGTATCAAGAACTGGAGTTTTGTTTTTTCTGCTCTTGCAAGCCTTATCTTCTCATGCCATCTTGAACCCTGGCTAATTTCTTGCCCCAGAAGAGGTGGTGCTGAGCTTGCTACTTGTTGAAGCTGCTTTTATCCAGAGGCTGGCACTTCTATTTTGTTCTGATGTTTTCTTACTCTTCCTATATCTGCTGTAAGGGTCTAGGGAATGAAGAGTGGTCTAGAGAATGAAGAGACTCAGGGAAGGGGATGAGAGAGACTGCAAGTTCTGATATCAGGAGCATTAGGGATTAAAAACTGGAACTCCAGGGGATTAGTACAGTGAGAATATAGTCTGGGGAGGATATATAAAAAAGGAAGGCTTGGAATATGAGTGCTGTTAAGGCAAGGCAAGTGACTAAAATTGATTGTGTATAGAAGACCAAAGTAAGATGAAAATGAAAATAGGAAAAGGAAAAAAGAGAAGCTGAAGTAAAAATATAAAGCAAAAAAATATACCTCATGAAAGAATGGTTTTGTTTGTATTTCCTTTCTACTTCACTGTCAAGATTCATTCTGTGGCTGGTGAAATACCCTGAAGTAAAGACAATTTTAGGAAGCTCAGGATGTGGTACAAAGCATGCCATTTGAAATGTATTTTCGTTTGAGGAATTATGCTCCTGACTTCTGGTGACATTAAGGGAGGAGGCAACTAAAAAAAATGTGTGAAATTTGTCATGTAGCACCTGATTCAGACTACAGAATGCTTTGAAGCCAGAGAGAAAAATAGTGAAATATTACAGCATTAAGATATAGAAATAAAATTTTGCTCTGATTGACCTAAATGTGAATCTGATGACTAGAGGAGATATTCTCTGATATTTTTGTGTGGCTGGGGAACGAGTTTGATCTTTAAGTTTTATGTTGTAGAATGTTGAATTCTAGAAGGCTTTTTGTTATTGATGCCTTTTTATGCTCTGCAGTTTGAAGTGTATGCACTGGGAACAGTTAACTGAGGACTTAATATTGCAAGGGAAAATGCACTGTATTAACTTTTGGTAATTGGAAAGTTTTGGTCCTGTTGTGGATATACTGTACTGAGATGGTCATCTGTTTCATCCAACAAAATGAATTTCTGCTTAGGGGAAAGTTCTGAATGCTGATTTTCAAAGAGAAAATGGTTTTACTATATGATTCTCAGAGAGCATACAAAATGTAAACCTACACATCTCTAATTCATTCTGGGGTTTTGCAAGTGAAACTAGAACATAATCATCTCCTTATTTTGAATAAATTTTTGCATCTCTTGATAACATTTAATATTCATTGGATGAATAGCAGTGTTTCCTACTTGAATCCTCCTTGCCTTGAAATGTTTAAATTTTAATTCTTTGGAGTTTTGTTCAAATCAGCTATCCTTTATTTACATCTTGATTAATACAAAGAAGTTATTATTTATAAGAAACTTCTGTAGGTAGTACTTACACCAGGCTGTATGGCAAAGATTTCATGTTAACTGTAGTCATAGGTAATTATTTTGTTAATAGATTTACTGAATTTGCAGTTGGTCACATGTTTTTAAAGCATTGAAATTAATATAATTGTGCATTGTTTGCTCTTGGAAAGATTAGGAGCACTTTATGTTGAACAAAGTATAAAAAGAATTCATGGAATTCTTGAAATATTTACCAAGTATTTTTGATAAGTGAGACCTTATTTTTGCTAAGAATTTTTACAAGCATGCTCTTTTTTCTCTATTTTCAGTCCCCTGCACATAGCTATTCAAGCTATGACTCTGGCAAGAATGAGAGTGTGGGCAGAGGTGCTGAAGATCTGTCTCTGAATCGAGGAGATGAGGATGAGGATGACCATGATGAGCAAGAAGATCCTGAGAAGGTTAATGAATCAGATGGGGTAGAAGCTGAGCGACTGAAAGCTTTTAACGTAAGCCCTCTTGCACTCACCTTGTTTGCTTCTTCTATTCCTTTTGCATTGTTGTTTGTGGGTAAGTTTGACAATATTAAATGCACGTTAATTTGCGGGACTTATTTCAATCATCATTATTTTAATGCACATTAAACTCTTGCCAACAGACAACAGATTTGCTGTGTTTCATTTAGAATTTTGGGGCAGAGTGCCATCTTTACCAGTGAGGAAAACAAAGCTTTGTTCTGTATGTGTGCATGTGTGACTGTGTGTGTGGCTGTGTGGATGTGCATGTTCACCCATTGAATGGATAGAGGCTGTAGCTAGTTTTGTCAGGAGACCATTCTGGTGGTCAGCTGTTCTCTATTGCTTTCCCAATGTATATAATTATGCATGAAAACACAAGCAATTGTTCAAACAAAGAAAAAATGTGAGTCAATTCAATAAAATGATTAGCAATCACAGCTTATTGTTAATAATGAAACTTAAGTAGTCCCTATTTTCACAGTCTGTTCTGGTTTATCTCACAAGTTCTGTATCCTCTAGACTATTCTTTTCTTGTCTATTTTTTTAAACCCAACCCACCCCCACCCCAAATAACCCTTTAAAGAACTGTTTGCTTTATATTTCTGGCTTCCCGTTACAAAGCTCTTCAGTGGATAGAAAAAAAAAATGTCTTCCTATCAGTATTCAAGCCAGGAAGCTAGGAAGAGAAGAGAGCTGCCCTCCAAACCCATCTCCTCTGTCTCCCTCTTGCCAACAGATGTTTGTCAGGCTGTTTGTAGATGAAAACTTGGACCGAATGGTCCCAATCTCTAAGCAGCCCAAAGAAAAGATCCAGGCTATCATTGACTCATGCAGGCGACAATTCCCTGAGTATCAAGAGCGTGCCAGAAAACGCATACGTACTTACCTCAAGTCCTGCAGGCGGATGAAAAGAAGTGGTTTTGAGATGGTGAGTTTTGACTTAAAACCCAGCCCTAGTTTCCATCAAAACCCCATATGTAAATCCATGGCACTATTTTGTTTTCATCTTAGCGTCTTTATTTTTTTGTTTGTTTAATTTTTTTTGGTAATACCAGGTCAGAGATTTCTTTTTCCCCTCCTTCATTCTTCCTGAATTTATTCCCCTCGATTTAAAAAGACATTAGAGTTCACAAAATGAACTAATTCAGATCTATAGGAAAGGAAGAACAAAGCAAGGCATAAGGAGGGAAACTGAACTATGGACTTTATAGTGACTTATTTCTTACTTTAAGTTACAGTTACAGATTTTTGCCTGGAAAAGTCTTGCTGTAGGATGGATTTTTCTCTAAAATGCCTCTGCTAGCTGGATTCCAGAGAGCTCTGTAAAATTGATCCTGCTAGAGAAAGGCTATACTCAAGAAAATACCTGGTGTAGTAACGTCATAGTTGCAGTGGCTTTGGCTTTGGGTGTTTCCTTGTACGCCTTAGCCAATTACTTATCAGTGAAAGTTACTCCTTTGAAATCTTTCAGTTAATATATAGGTGTGCAAAACTTGTTTAATGGCTGTAAAACACAGACATCAAACTTACAACCTGAGCATCCCAATGGTTTAGTATTTATAATTGAACCAAAACTCATGAAGATTATCATGGTGTACAACTGACAGTGTTTTCAGACACAGCTATTTTAATATTACTCAGTAGTAGAAACATGGGTAAATAAAGTCTTCTCATTAATTGGCAGCTTCATTATCTCTAGAAAACGTTTGTATTCCAAAATGGAGGAAATTCAGAAGAAGCTAGATAGCTACACACCTTGTGTTTAATGTCTTAGCTATCTCTGGCCTTTAGATGACAACAAAAACACCTCATTGTTACAAATAGATATCATTTAGTGATTAAACATACCATTTTTTTTAATGGATCATCTGCAAACCCATGGATTACATTAAAAATTATTGGAGATGATTGCATTTTACTGTTTTTCTCTTTCTCTCTGTCTTTCTCTTTCCTGCAGTTTTTGCAGAATATTTATGAGTACCATATGTTGTTTAAGATGGTAGCTGACAGTTAAAAGAACAAAATATCAGGCTTATTTGTAGGGTAAGACCACTATTTGATGACACAAAAAGCAAAGACAGAAACTAAATTTTTGTGTATGTTTGGGATTCTAATCAACTGCATGGTTTTATTATCCAAAACATTGGGATAACACTGTTTCTGAACAATGGAAGCTCAGATGAGGAAAGACAGGTAGAATAAAGGACATCTGCACAGACAGAAGAACCAAAGATTGAGTGGTGGTGTACATGGCAGAGTGTTTAGCCCTCCAAAACAACAAAAAAAGGACAAATAGAAAATAAATATTTCCTACAATATACTAAGTAACATTAAATTGCATCTATGCACTCTATCTGACAATAATTCATCAACATCAAGTTCAGCTTTCAAGAAGCCAAAAAATTTATTTTTCTGTACTTTCAATTGAAAATACTTACAAAATTAGCCAATGCTAGCAAGTCTCACAGTTCCAATTTATGGCTTTATTACTATCATTGTTCATGCTGATGAGCAGTTATGTAAACTGGCTCGTTTTTGTTTTCTGAAAGACTTGTGCAACTGTTTTGCAATGTGAACAAGGGGCTACAGCCCATAAGAGCTGGGTGGCTTGACTTCAGTGCACATTTGCAAATGTTACTTTCATATGAATAAAGGTTATGGGATCAAATTTATTCCTGGGAGGGGAAAAAGAGCAGACATTACCAGGAATATGATCCAAATAAGCAATCTTTATAGTTCAGAAAGATTTCCTGGTTTTATAATGTTTCATGACAGTTTATGATGGGCTTTATTTCTTTTTAAACAAACGAATCACCCTCTAAAGCATTGACTTTTTGCCCATGAATGGAAGTGACAAGGCATTGGAATTCATGCCAAAGACTGCAGCCCTCTTGGGCCTAAAGGGATATCTGTCCTGTGTCCCTGTTTGCAGGTAGGAATACAAGCCAAAGATTATCCAAAGTCTCTGGAGGCGCTCCCATCAACTTCCTAAGAGAATAAGTAGCATTTTATGTGTATGTCTTGCATAATTCTGAAATTTAATGTGTATCCCTTTGGGTTTTTTAATTATTTTTTGATTCCTAAGTTATTGTATCATCATCTCTTGATTATAGGCATTTTCTATCATGGACAGAGGCATTTGACTACTTGATTTAGATGTTCTTGCCATTTTGGTAGTGGAGAAGAACCACCTTTTCTGGATAATAACATTTATTCAAAACAATCATGATGGGACATGATGGTGTTGTTTTGAATAAGGGGCTACTCTCAAATACAGCAAACCAGAATAATGATCTGCTCAGCAGCAGTACCAGTACCATTGTTCCTTTAAATAGAATGCTAGATCATAATTTCCACAGGAGATGTCTTTTTCTATATGAATGTTAAATACAATTTTTTAATATTTGTTCAGGTTCAAAATGCTACATTTTGAGCAGGTCGTTGTATGAGAAAAAGAGAATATTCTCGTTTGTGGCATGCGACAGTTCAGACTGTGTGTGGAACTGTGCAGCTATCTACAGCATCATACTGCAAAGTGAAGAGAAAATCTAAACACTATGTTAGATTAGTGTAAAACTGCATGGTAAAGATGAAAAAGCATGCCTGGAGCCTGATTCTGTCAGTTATTTGCCATCTATAATCCCAACGACAGTTCTTACTGCATAACAGGCCAGTTCTGGCTTTGAGGCAATAAAAAAGGCTCAGTCTCATGAGTGTTCATATTATTAATTAACATGATTCTTAGTATTATTATGTTTAAGCGATCACTTACAGTTATTCTGCTTTTACTTGTGACAGATAGTTGTCTGTGGGCTCTGAGGCAGCTTGCATAGCTTCTTGTTACAAATATGCCTTTGAGCAGCTCCCTTTCTACATTGGAAATGCTCTGCCCATTTTCCTGTGCAGCTTGTAGCTGTGCAGTTTTCATTCTGACACAAGTGCCTCGATAAGGCTCTCAGTTTTTCTCATGAATCGTAAGATTGTTCTTCTCCTCCCATTGTCTCTTGCTAATAGACTGTCGAGAATGTTCTCTTACTAAATTCTATGATCTTGCTCAGATTCTTTCATTGGGAGAGAAGTCTGTCAAATACTGAAATCACTGGCTTTTGGAATGCATTTCTAGGCTGTGTTTCTGCCTGTGTTTCTTTTATGTTTTGAGAACCTAAAAGTTTTTTATATTCTTAAAGAAATTATTTCTTTTTCTCTTCATTAGCCCAAAAACAAAAGGACAAAATTACTTCCTTATTTTTAAGGACTGACATCAATGAGAATTCCTGTATATATGTTAGGTGGTTTGTGACCTCTATAGGCAATGCAAGAGGAATTTTCTCCCAGAAATAGTCAGATCGCCTGCTTCACTAATGTTTTCAAATCCTTTGTTTATACTTGTCTTAGCCTCTGTGATAGAGAACTGCCAATTAAAGAGACTTAGTAGATGAATGCTGGAGATATGTGGTATGCATTTATTTAGTTATAGTCCAGAAAACTTTAGATGCTAGAAATAATCAAATGAAATTTAATTGTCTTAATAGTTACATTTTCTTACTACTCTCTGCTTCCTCCCATCTTCATGATCTCCTATGATCAATCTCACTGCATTCAACTTGAAATTGCATCTTACAGTATCTTTTTCACAGATGTGACATTTTTTCTGTGAGCATCCCAAGGCAAGAGCAAGATTTTAAACTCTTGTTCACTAAGAGTTCACTTCCCTTTTTTTTTAAGCAAATGGAAACCCTCCTTCTAAATACTACTGTAATACAAAGCAACAGTATCAAGGAGCAAAGTGTTCTGTGTTGGAGAGAAAAGGCTAAACTTAAATGCTTTTCATTATCCAAAGACAAGTTTGGATGTGTTAGAGAAGAGTCACACTGCGCCTAAAGACAGTTCCTGATTCAGGTCCCAGTGTTGTTCATCCCAGCTCCTTCATTCCTATTGCCAGCCTCAAGAACAAATAACTAAGCTCTGTATCTTTCACTGCTGCTGTCACTTGGTTGTGCCAGTTGGCTGAGGAAGGTGTTTTAACGATTTGCAACTGTGCTCATGTTGATCAAGGTGTTTTGAATGTGTCTCGTGGCTTGTCATGTGTCTGTGTTGGGACTGGGTTTCCAGAAGTGGGATTTTTTCTGAAATCTGCCTCATTAAGGTTACTTGGGATAGGTATCTAGGTTCTGCTTTTAAGTTTTAGAAAGAGGAGTCTTTCAATATTTACTGAATTTACTGCTGAAAAGTCCAGCTGCCCTTACAGTCACATGGGTTTTTAGTCCTCCAGGCTTTTATGTCTGGAAAGGTCATAAGCATTTTCAGGAAAATGAGGATCTGTGCATTCAGGGATGCATATTTGATTAATAAGCTGGGAAGCATTAAGAAAATTATCACAAGAACAGTTACATGAAGATCTACAAATACTAATAGAGTTGTTGCTTTGTATTATACCCCAAACTCTGTCAGTGGGGCACTTTCTAAGCATCTTGCCCTTTTTTGATAGTGATTAACTTCTTTAAGTCTGATGGGCAACTTGGTTGAAAAAGACCAAAGCTACTCTCTGATAAACTTTGACTTTTATCGTATAGTCTTGAAAAATTATTCTAGAAACAGTTTTTCCAAGGCTCTTAAATATGTTGTTCTTTCTTTCTTTCACCATAGAACAGTTAAGTGTGATTAAGTACTCATGTGATTCTTAAGAACTTCCTCCTAAATCTTCCTCTCTGAGGAAGCTTTTGCTTTTTTAATAACTTTTCAAAGTATAGGCAATTTTGGAAAAGTGAGTAGTGGAAGAAGTAACACTTCTTTCATTAACCTTGTAAAATGTGAAGAAGCTAGCTTTAAAAAGGGTATGGTATTTGGAGAAAAAATTAAAACTAAAAGTTTAAAATACCTACCAACCTGGACTTAGTCTTCTACATCCTGCAAGAGAGGAAAATATAG